TGTGTGTGTGTGTGTGTGTGTGTGTGTGTGTGTGTGTGTGTGTGTGTTGGTGAAAGATTTTCTACTGCAAATCATCTTTATACACCACTACAGAACAGGAGCCTTTATTTATTTAAACTAAATCTAATATATAAACCTATAAATCAAAATCAGAAGGTCTAATAGATCCTCTTCTGTTTTCCAGTCTCTGTAGAACCACGTGCACCAACATTTTATGTTCAACTCTAAATAACCTGAGTTGTGCACTTTGCTTTAGCGGATGGCCCTCATCCAAATTCAGACTTTCAAGTCTGCAAAACTTCACGTACTGGGAACAACGGTCCCTTTGAAAAGATTTGGACCCTTGAGAAAAGCAGCCTGCAGATCGCTGTTCCTTTCAGCATCCCCCCCCCCCCCCCCCACCACACACACACACACAGAGAACAGCCTACCTTCTTCATAGCCCCAGTTCAGCTCATCTTTCCCAGGAGTATAATCTGACCCTTCAGTCACGTTGTCAGCCATGGTCCTCTCCAGCCTGGATACAAACCAGTCCGCTGTCCCAGTAAACTCCCAGTTAGACTGGCTCTGGATGTTCACTTGGTTGCAAAGTGAGGTCTGTGCTGATGTCGTGACTTCCTGTGATTTAGTTTCTTTTTAGTGGTGTAGCCTCCTCTCCTCCGGTCAGCTGCGGTGCTCCTACAGATGGATCACTCTGCCTCTCTGTTGCTCCACCTCCTTCTCTCTCTCTCCTCATTGCTCTGCTCTAATCAGCCTCTCCTCCTCCTCTCTTTCCTCCTTTCTTTCTTCTTCTCCACCTCTGCAGGTATGCCTGCCCACTGTGGGGCCTTTATCTAAACAGTGTTGGTTTTTTAATCTCCCCAAGTTCACGCTCATAAGTTGTTGGTTTTATTGCACCACCTGTGTGCTGCTGACCTTTCTGCTGTTCTGGGAGCTCTGGTGGTGTTTTGTAAGTGTGTGTGTTGGAATGCTGGCAGGAAGGTCACGCTTGTGTTTCTCTTGGAGGCCACAGACCAGGAATAGCAATGGTAAAGAAAATAGGCAGAAAATGGCAGGATGTGGAAAATGAACGGCCAAACTGTTCTCCTGCATTGATCATTTCAAGGTGGACAATTAAAAATAAAGCTATGAATTTCCCCCATTTGATATTAAAATAACATTGGTCCTAAAAAAGTTTTTTTTTCTCTTTAATGACAAAAGACAGACTTGTGGTCAACAACATATTAAGTTAATTTTGAGAAGCTCAATTAACAAAATGTGTATCAGTCAAACTCTTTGTTTTTTTTTTTGGTTCATTTCTTTTTTTTTTTCCTAACACATTACCTCCAGGCTGATGATTAATTACCCTACATTCTTTATCTGGAAACGGTCCTTGGAGCCACAGAGATGAAGACAGGCTCCCTTGTTTCCCCACCGTACATCCAAAACCAGAACACGCAGAAGTGGTGGTCCATATTTGAGTAAACGCAAACTCGATAAGCTCCAGTGAAACTCAGTGACTCTTTATCTTCCATGGACTGTGTAAAAAAATTAACTAAGTCCCTTCTTTTGACCTTAAGTTTGATCCGTTCTGTTTCACTCCAAGCATGATCATATTTTTTAACCTAAACATGAAACTCTACCAAAGAAAACCTGAAGCAAATTAGAGTTTTTGCACACAATAAGCAGCTTTACTAATGTACAGAATCAGGGAGAACAAGAAGTTTCTCATTCTTTATATTCAGCTGGTTACCACTCCCCCTGGTGGTCATTAGATAGAATGCAGATTTAAATCGTCAAAAGCTGCCTCCATCATGTGTAATCCTAATCATCATGTACTGTCAGACACATTTCACAACAACCAGCTGCTTCTCTCTTCCTTTGTAGGCCTGGTTGAATGAAAAAAATCCTAAAGACTTTATAAAACCAGTGTCAATTCAAAACTGACCTTTAAAAATGGCTATAATTCAGACACTCTTGCACATAATGAGCTAAAATGTGTTGTGCCAGTAACTGAGGCTGATCCACAACATGTATGTTGAGTGCTAACAGATTTAACAAGATCTTTGATTGAAATATTGTCATTAACTACTCAGCGTCAACTATATCTAGAGTGCATCTATACACCTGACAAGACCCACGGAGCATGTGGAGGGGGAGCGAACCATGCCCCTAAGACCCATCACTGCCTGATGCTCTCAACAAGTTCTATGCACGCTTTGAAGACCCGAACAGACCACCCAGCACCAGACTCACCTCACCACCGGATGAAGAGCTTCTCAGCGTGACCTCAGCAGAAGTAAGGAGTACTTTCAAGAGAATTAATCCGCACAAAGCAACTGGCCCAGACAACATCCCCAGGAAAGTGTTGAAAGAATGTGCCGATCAGCTCTGCAAGGTGCTGGCAGACATATTTAACTCCTCTCTCACCCTGGAGACAGTTCCCATCTGCCTGAAGACTGCCACCATCATCCCAGTCCCAAAAAGCTCTACAGTGACTGGTCTGAATGACTATCGGCCAGTAGCCCTCACCCAGATAGTCGCTAAATGCTTCGAAAAACTGGTCCTGACCCACATCAAAACAACCATCAACATAAACGAGGACCCTCACCAGTGCGCATACCTCAAGAACCGATCAACAGAGGATGCCATCTCCTCTGTGGTCCAGACTGCTCTCACCCACCTGGAGCAAAAGGACTCCTATGTCCGTATGCTCTTTGTTGACTTCACGTCTGTCTTCAACACCATGATCCTCCAAACCCTGATGGACAAACTACTCACACTAGGACTAAGCCCATCCATTTGCAAGTGGGTACTAGACTTCTTAACAAACAGACCACAGTCAGTGAGGATCCACAACTTCTCCTCCTCCACCATAAGCCTCAGCACTGGCTCTCCTCAGGGATGTGTGTTGAGCCCCCTCCTGTTCACTCTGCTCATGTATGACTGCACACCTTCCCATCCAGGCTGTCATATTGTAAAGTTTGCAGATGATACAGCGGTGGTGGGATGCATCACAAACAATGATAAGTCCAGCTACAGGCAAGAGGTGGAACACCTGGAGAGCTGGTGCAAAGAGAATAACCTTCACATGAATGTGAAGAAGACAAAATAGATGATCATGGACTTCAGAAGGAACAAACACACCTACACCCCCCTGAATATAAGAGGATCTGTGGTGGAAGTGTCTCCAGCTACAAGTACTTGGGTGTACACATGAATGACAACCTCAGCTGGAGCAACACCACCACCAGCCTGATCAAGAAAGCTCATCAGAGACTCTACTTCCTCAGACGGCTGAGGCGAGCTGGTCTGGGAAGCTCAGTCCTCACCTCCTTCTACAGGTGTGCAGTGGAGAGCATCCTGTGCTCCAGCATCAATGCGTGGCATGGAGGCTGCACAGCTGCAGAAAGAAAAGCTTTGCAGAGAGTGGTGAAGGCTGCACAGAAGTCTGTTGGAGTCAGTCTCTCCACCATCACAGACATTTACACTTCTAGATGCAGGAAGAGGGCCACCTGCATCATGAAGGACCCCACTCACCCAGCACCAGCACACACTCTTTTTGCCCCGCACCCCTCAGGCAGGAGGTTGAGGAGCATTAAGTGTAGAACCACTAGACGGAGGAACAGCTTCTACCCTGAAGCTGTTAGGACTCATGAATCTCTAACTAGAATAATCACTGTGAAAAATCACATCATGTTGCTGCTGATCTGTTTCATGTTGCTGCTGATCTGTTTCATGTTGCTGTGTTCATTCATGTTCATCTGCTCACACAGACTCATGTTCATGTTGCTGTTCGATGGAATTTTTTTCTCTGTTATCAGTGCTTAGTGTATTTTTAGTTTATGTTTTTCTTAGTTCATATCTTAGATGTTATCATTGTTTTTTTTTTTTGTTTTTTTACTTTTTATTGTTGGATGTAACTGGGACCCTGTGTACATAATCTGTATTTCTATTTTATGTTTTCCTGTCCGCTGTGCATGTTTGTTTTCTTTTGTACAGCACTTTGGTTGGCCTTGTTGCTGTTTTAAGTGCTCTATAAATAAATTGGTATGGTATGGTATGGTATGGTATGGTATGGTATGGTATGGTATGGTATGGTATGGTATGGTATGGTATGGTATGGTATGGTATAATTTCATTCCACCACATGCACCACATGTGGTGGAGCGACAATAAAGAATCTCTGACTGTGACTCTGATCTGTTAGCAAAATACATGAACCACTGGGCAGATTCTGATGAAACTATTAGGAAATAATTACTGGAAGCAGTTTGTGAGCCTTGTAACAAATTCAAGTCACACCCAACTTAAACTCTGGGTTAGAAGAGTTTATATTTGCTGCCATCAAGTGGAAATATGCATCATGAAACCACACTGCGCCAAAAACAGTGCACTGCTCACTGTCTTACTAAAAACTTCTTCTCATTTACAAAGCTAAAACCATGATAATCTTTCTTTTTTTAATTAAAGCTTTTTCTTTCTTCTGTTTTTTTTTAAAACCCCACTTCTGAACTTGATTGCTTTCTTACCTGATAAACTTGCCTCAACTGTATGCTACATTTGATATTTAATATTATAAAATTATATATATTTTTTTACTTTAGCTGGATGTGATCCAGTATGTAGAAAACTACAAAAACAAGTCATCCAAGATTTCCTTATGCACAAAGTTTCAAAGTCCTAAATTAGAATTTGGCCATAAATTTCAGTCGTTTTTTCTAAGACTTCTCTGAACACTCAGTTGCAAGCTTTTTTATATTGTTGCTGTAAACAGTCATCTGCTCTAGTGTGAGCCCATTGAAAGAGAATACAGATCACATACTAATGAATATGAGACATTTTCATTTGTGACTGGTTATAATTTTACTTTATGTGTTTTGAACCCCTATTTAAAGGTTAAAAATAAGTTACTTTAGCTTGAGAACAACTTTTATGATACCAAACTGGGATTAAAAGAAAGATGTTTTAAAAAGCACATCACTTTCAGCAAAGTCCAAATATAAAAACATATAGTTGAAAACTAGCACTATTTAAAACACATTTTAATAACCCTTTTATCTCATTAACTTGTCACAAAGGAAAAGTTGGTTATTTTTATTTTGATTGACTTTCAGCATCAGTTTAGCAATAAATTATTATTTATTTAACAGTCAAATACATGTAACACTCCCTCAGAAATCTTAGATGGTAATTAAATTTCCTTGAAAGCATTCATCACTCATCATGGATCAACATCAAGAAAATGGAGATCAAGTTTTTTTTGCAGAGGGGCGATGTGTTGCTCCTTCCATTTGCCAACTGCGAAAGTGTTTTTAACCAAATCTGATATGTTGTCTTTAAATTTAAGAGGTAGTTTTGTCTGGATTAATAACTCATGCATCCAACTACCAGAGAATTAGGTTGTGCTCATGTTCAGTGAAGTTACTGTAAAGCATTCACGTCTCACTTCACACTGATTAACCCAACAAGATGAAACTTTGAGTTCTACATGTTCAGGTGATTTTCTCTGTGCAGCACCTGAGTCATACTTGCAGTTTATTTTCCTGTTGCTTTTGAGATTATTTCTCCTTTTAAAGTTCATAGTTTTTTAATGCGATTGCTTAGAGTTTTGTATTTTTCCTAATTGACAGCTAGTTTTAAATCATTAGATGATTACGTGGATTTAATCAGATGAAGTATTTTTCTTTGAGATCAAACTAAATTAACTT